CTGACAGCAGAAAGAATATCAGGATGAGAGTTCGCCGGTCTGATCTAGCGAACTCTACAAGACTGTTGCGAATTATTTTTTTACTGGTGGAAAATTATAAAACTGAATTTTTTTTTTAAATAAACAGGTTTTTTTAATTTTAACTTAAACATCTGTCTACATGACTTTAATATATATAGAGATGACAACTTGTTCTGGACAGCAAATATATATTTTAAAGTGGTAGTTAATCAATTGTGATTCTTGGTTTAATAAATTCAATTTAGTAGATTTTATCCACCACTATTTCTAAATAATTCGTAGCCTTATATAATTTACCACTTTATACTGCAGAAGAAGAAGTGATGTGTCCGCTTCGCGGGACAGGGGCTTACGTAATGCTATACCTTTTAAAAAGCAAGCAAAAATAGTCAAATATTTGCAAAATTTGCTTTGTATTTATTTACTTTATTTAAAAATATTTTTGGTGTGTCAGGAGCAGTTGGCAGTTCTGTATACATGGTCATGTAAACAGATTCTAAAGTTAAAATAATTATTTTTAGTGTGTGTAAATAGCCTATATATACCAAGACGAAAAAAAAACTGGTACGAGAAATATTTCGTTCTAGCATTTTTTTTAATAGAAAAATTAAATTACTTTAACTACATAAATTTTTTTACGAATATATCATGCATATAAAAATGCTTTTTTCTCAAGAAAGAGTAGATATTGTTAAATTCAGAGATGTTGCAATTGTGCCACGTAAGTATATTTTTTATTTTAGCAGTATATTTATTTTATATAGCAGTATATATATTTTTTATTTTAGCAGTTATTTGATAAACAGTTTTTTTATTACATGATTCATTCATCATTTCTAGTTTAAACTGAAATTTTTTTAATACTTTTATTTTATCATACCGACTAACGTTTGAGGTTTGGGCAAAATACACTGACGAAAAAAAATCCCAACACATAGTAAAAGTTACTATTGAGTTATGAAATTTTGGCAATGCGTTTGTCTAAATGACATATTTAATTGATTAAAGATCACAGGTTAATGCAATTAAGGGAAAAACCAATTCAAATCTGAACTGGTACATCAATAACTGGTGTAAGCACCAGAATTTCGAGTGCAAGCATGCAGACGGACATGCATTGTGTCATACAGATGCCGTATGTCACTTTAAGGGATAGAGCTCCATGTCTGTTGAACTTGGTTAGTCTATACGCGGATAGTTAATGCTGGTTGTGGATGACGCTGAAGTAGTCGTCCAATGATGTCCCATACGTGCTCGATTGGTGAAAGATCTGGTGAACTAACAGGCCAGGGCAACATGTCGACATTCTGTATAGCATGTTGGGTTGCTTGCGACAGCGTCTTTAATTCCTTAGATTAACGTTAAAAATAAAATAATTTTACTTGCTCTCTTTACGTTTTGATCTATTTATTTACAACAAACGAAAATGTTGTCTGTCTTAATTAATGCACCACAAATAAGATTCTTTGATGTAAGTTAACTGCCTTACGATTCAGCTTCTTTTTTAAAATTTCAGCATAATTGCTGAAATTTTAAAAAAGAAGCTTTCTTTAATCGGGAAAATTTCTGGAACATGTTTGTTTCTGAGGATACTTTCTGAGAGAGAGAGAGAGTGTTGTCGTTAATTAAAACATTTGGCTAATATGAATTTGTAATTTTTTTCCCAATTATTGGCATTTACGTGACAAAAGAAATTCTTTATGACAAGTAACAATTTTTATTACTTCAGACATTTTATCGTAACCATATACAGTCAATTCTGGATGTTACGAACTCAGAGGACGACACTAAAAATGTCATAATATCAAAAATTCAGGTTGATGAAAATTGCGCATATATATTTAATAATTCAGCCAGAATAATAACTGTTGCCTTAAAAGTTGTACAACATGTAGTTACAGAAAAACGAAGAACTTATTTCAATCAGTGTCAATATCTTTGCTTTCTCATTCAATTTTGCGTTTTCTGGGTTCCTTCTGTTTCGTCATTATTTCAATTAAGGCATTCTAAATAAGAATAATATGCGTTTGGGAAGGTTTTGATTGTGAGCTACACTTATGAGAGACAAAAAACAGCGAAATTTCAGACAAAATTTCAGTTTTTGTCTTATAGTATCTAAGCAATGCATCGTACACAAAATTTTGTATGCGCCAAAATTAAAGAATATCGAATTTTGAGATGAATCATTCTTAAACATTAAATTTCATTTAATTGTTTGGTCCGAATCAAAAGTCAAAAAAAGCGTTGAGCTTAATTTCAAATACATGTCACCACAAAATTTTTGAAAATAAAAAGTATTAAAGTTATTGAGAATCAATTTTAGCCGTCAAGAAGCTCTTAATTTTTTCTCAACTCTACCTATAAATACAACAAAAAACCTAAACTGGCCGTAATTGCAACATCTTTTGACTACTCAATTTGGTTTTAAAACATTTCTAAAGCAGAGCGCTGATGTGGAAGAAGCGTAAAATCTCAATAAAACGTGAATTGTTACACAACGAAAATCGTAAAAAACAGGATTTGAAAAGTTAAAAGTAATCGAGAAGTTAATTTATTATAAGCAATAATGATATTCTCTCTTATCCATTATAATATTTAAGGTGATTCACAAGTGTTTTCACAATATTTACGCCACCTCATCCAAACAAGCATCCAAAACTCAAGTTGATGAATGAGAAAATGATGAGAAAAGATGAATGAGAAAAGAGTCGCAGGCGGTCTCAGGTGCCCAAATGTTTAATACATTTCAGTTTAGCTCAATATTTACGCTTTATGACATCTAATATTATAAAATAGCTTTTTATAACACTTGAGTAAAATAAGTTAAATTTTAAGTTATGTAAAATTAAAAATAATTTAATGCTTTTTCAATTTGGTGAGTACAAAATTTTGTATACGATGCATTGCTTAGATGTCATACGGTAACAAACTACCTGAAATTTCGTTGTTTTTTGGCTCTCAAAAGCTTAGGTTACATCAGAAACCATCCCAAACTAATATTATTCTTATTTGAGATGCCTTAAGTGAAATAAAATCATTTCGATCTTATCGGGGATTAGTTCGAGGTACGTAGTTTTTTCGGTCTAATTTGATTATGCTGTTTCTTTTTAATTCATTGAATGAGTAACTTTTTACCGATTTTAGACCAGATATTCTTATCTATATTGAAAATTGTCCTCATCCCCAACATGATCTTTAGCTCCCTCTTGATTTCACTTAAGTGGAGGGGTTAAAAGAGGAATTAAATAATGCTATCTTGGCAAACTATGTAGTTTTGATAAATTAGATACTTAGGCTACGTATTTTAGGTTAAATCGAATGCGGGTAAAACCAAGTCAATGAGGCAGATAGTTAAGAAATTTTATGTCTAAAAAGTATAAATTTATGAATAATACTTATTCACGCATAAAAAATTTCAAAACTATTAGATTGATCAATGTGATGTTGGCATCATTCAATTCAAAGTAAAAAAGAGTAAAACAACACACTGACACAAACAATACCTCACTTGTCCAGTTAGCAATATCAGATTCGTAAATCAGTATAAGTGAAACTTTGCACTTTTTATAACGTCTATACCTTCTTAAAAGTCTTGTATCTTAGTCGTACCGACTCGGTGTTACTCTAATTTGATACCGCAAAAAAAAAAAAAAATTAAATATGGAGGTTAGAAAAAAATATGGAAACAGTAACTCTATGTAAAGAATCTTTCTTTTAGAATTAAATGTTTTTGAAGATTTTATAATGAAAAACTATTGGCACGATTTAAAAGATCAAGATTGAAGCTTTTAGAAATTATGCCATTTACGTCTAAGTTTCCATTTTTACATAATTAAGAACTTGTTAAGGTTCTAGCAAGTTCTTAACTCTATAAAATAACTATAATAACTGCACAAAATAACTATAATGCGCATAAACTCAAAACTGATTCCATCTGAACATGTATATTTACTGGAACCAGTATATTAAAAGGAGATAATGCATATTATTAGTATTAATACCTCATTATTATTAATAACTAATGAATATTTTTTTGTTTTCAGCTGATAATTTTCGTCCTTATCTGACATCTTTTCAGAGTAATGATAATACAGATTACATCAATGCTGTTTTTGTCGACGTAAGTTGTTTTTCTTTCTAATTATTTTTTTTTACGAAAGCTCGAATGATAACTGAAATGGATCAGTTAACTTATCCTTAAACATTATTATAGTCATACCCTCGGAAGAAGACGATTGGTTAGTTGGCCTCGAAGAGATAACTTCGACGCCAATGACTGAAGAATCAATTATGGCTCAAAACCTTTTCCCCGCCTATACTTCCATACTCTTCTTTTAAAGAAGCTTTACATCTTTCTTTTTACTTATAGACTTCAGTTATGATTTTAACTTTAATCGTCTTCTTATGGTGAGCGAAATGTACAGTGCTAAAAAAAAACGGACCGCCCTGAATAACTTTTGATCTAATGATCGGATTTTCAACTTCTAGGAATTAACCTTAATGGCTCGAAGAGGTGACCTCAAATATGTTAATTAATAAGTGCAGACGATATTTTAAATTACGAAATCAGACACATAAGAACATTAAAAACTTCAGTATACTACTGCGAAACTTTGTGAATTGGTTAATCGATTTTATTCGTCGATTTATTTATTTATCGAAGTTGTGTAGTGGTGAAGAAAATCATTCGAAATTAAATTTATCAAATTAATAATAAAATCTTAAATCATAAAATTGACCAACACTTTAAATATCAAAATAAAAGTGTTCAGGTTATTCCTATTATTTTAATAAGACAGCAAGTATATAAGTACAGGCATATATAAGCAAGTACAGGCTTAATGCGCAACACATAGTAGGTTTATAAGCTCTTATTATCAAATTAAAGAACAGATAACTTAAATTAGAGAGGATCACTACTAAAATGCGCCCAGGAGGGATTCGAATTCGCTGTCTCCAAGCTAGGAAGCGTTTGGTAGATCGGTTAGGGAGACTCTATAATATAATTCTATTTTTATATCTGAAATCATATGATTTTAAATTTTCTAAAATTCTAGAGCAGTAACTTACACTGCAAAATAGTCACTTAATCTAAGATGTATCTAGCCAACTTTTTCATAAGGACACTTTTTGCCCCTTCGATAGGGAATGGGCTAAGTTTCATAAATACACATAAGATGATTGGTAAAAGTTAAAGTCAATTACGTTTCGCTTACGTTTAATTATAGGATGTAAAATATTTTTTCAAGAAGTTTGATATAAAAATGGTTAAAAGAGGAGACTAATGGGCTAACGAGTTTATGTCGTTGTAGGGTTATACGAGATCAAAGGAGTACATCAACACTGAATGGCCACTACAGCGCACAGTTCAAGATTTCTGGTCATTAGTCTATGATCATGATTGCAACACCGTGGTTGTTCTATGCAGTCCACCACCCTCACATGTGAGTATTATTATTTTTTATTTTCAAGAAATACTTCCACGTTTGCATTTGAAAGAAAGAAAATGAATAAAAATCAAAAACACTGTGCATCTCATGGCCTGGATAGCCTGGTCGGTAGGGCGCTGGGCCCATGTCCAAGAGTTCGAACCCTGCCGACCGAAGACTCCCCGTGTAGTAAATGGTGACTGATGCACGTTAAATCTGTCGAGTCTCACAGTCCTCCATGTTCCCATAACAAATCAAAACCTCTGGGGGTACTGAATTGGAGACTGGTCTTTCTCTGATTCAGGTCAAAATAACGATCTGTAAATGAATAAATGGATGTATGAATGGGTCCGCCTTATAAAAGGGTGTGACGTATGGTGTGGCAGAAGTCGAATTTGGTCATAGATGGCGCCACTGGAAAACAAGAACAATTGCATCCTTCTGCCTAAACAGGCACACGAAAGCAAACAAGCAACTGTGTATCTCAAAGAGGAAATCGTGCAGCAAAGAAAAAAAAATCGTATTTGTGGTATTTATAGAAATTTCCATTTCACTCCTATTTCCGTTTTGCTTCTACTTCTAGTAGTTTACTTACTTACTTTATTTACAAAAATTG